TTGGACTTTGTCTCAATAGTTCAGATCCTCAAACTAATTAGGCTGCGAGACGAAAAGTTAGACACAAAGTGAAATTTTCTGATTACAATTTAATAAAGATAAAGGGAAACAAGATATTTGGACCAACTTAGTTCAAGGTGTGTAGAAGGAAGTGTCCGGTCATCAGTTTGTGACCTTAGGATGAAGCAGATTTGGGTTATGCAGTCGGACAATGATCACAAAGGACACCTGAGAGTCAACCTCAACAAAAAAACAAAGGTTTCCATATGCCCTATTCAAAGGCCGAGCTCAAATAAGAGTGAGACACTGTGATATGAGCTTAAAGAGACTTTGTGTGCTTGAAAATCCTCCACTATGGCTGACATAAAACAATTAAGCGAAGAAAAGAGGGCCAAAATTCCTCCACAGTGTAAGTTATCGCAAACATTTGATAGCAGTTGCTCTTGCAATAGTAGCACAACCAGTTATCAGGTTCAGGGGGTATTTGTTTTATTATTTGTTTTATTATTTGTTTTATTATGTTTTGGCATTGGATCAGGTGAGTCTGGATCTCTTCGGTCCATTGAAAGCAGCCTTTGATTAATGTATGCAGATCATCTTTGACATTAAAATTTGTTTGATAGGTGACTAGCGATTTATGATATAGCTGCATTAACATTGGTATTAGCCAATAACAGCATGGTTTGTTTTTTTTGCACAAATTGGTCCGATAAGTAAGTTGGTCGATATTAATAAATTTTCATTTTGTTGCCGTTTATGTTGGGGGTTGGTCCTGTGATAGAGATGCGGGGTGTTAAACTGAAGCTGAGAAGTGCAGTTGTTTTCTCAATGTGTGTATATCGGCAGACATTGCTTATCAACAGCAATATTAATATCGGTATCAGCCAAGATTTTCACATCACATAAAACCAATCTCTAAGGGGGAAAATATTTGTGCGCATAAACCCTACGATGTTTTGACTATTCTGAGGTAAAAACAATACTTTTTGAAGCACTGCAACAGTAATGACTTCAAATCATAAAACATTGCAATGGGCCACCTAAATGAATGCACAACACGCAGAGGGACAAGCAGCAGGGACCCACACAGCTCGTCACCATTTAACACTCTGATATTGACACAGGCAGACCTGCAGGCAGTTCAAACAAGCGTACATATTGTAGGACAGGAGCTCGACGAAGACAAATGTACTACCGCCGCGGCGCGAGAGGCCCAATCTTCCCAAGCTAGGCTCAGCTAACTCCATTTGCATGATAACCGACAGCCAGTGTGCTCCAGGGTAGAATATATTAGCAGGAGTTACTTTCTAAATCATTTATAGCGCAAATCCAGAAGTGTGTGTTGGTTCTCAATGTAAAAGATGACTAATGGAGCTCTGAATGTGCTCCGGATCGGCCGGGGTCGTCAGGCTGGGCGCTCGTTTCGCAGGCTGATGAAGCTCCAGGTGCTTCGTTGGTGCGTTTTTAGTGCGTTTTTAGCACTTTGCAACAAACCCAAAATGTGCTTTTGAGATTTTATGTGACCAACATAATGTGCTTAATTATGTAGTGGAGGCAGAATGAGTCATGGTTTTTAAGGGTTTTTGGAAAAAAAAAAAAAAAAAGTCTGGAGAAATATGGTGTGTGTTTTTATTCGGTGCCCCTCTGAGCTTGGACTTTGCAGAGCCACGTTTTGGATCTGAAAGCCTCCTGGGCTTTGGCTCGATCAGATCTACACGTCTTTAGGCTGATTTGTTTGTCTTTTTGATTGTTGGAGATCACCTGAACAGTATTTTGCCACAGAGTGACAATTGGATTTAGGTCTGGACTTTGACTGGGCCATTCTAACCCATGACTATTCTTTGATCTAACCTACTCCATTGCAGCTCTGGCTGTATGGTTAGCGATGTCATCCTGGTTAAGGTGAACCTTCGTCCTGGTGTCAAACCTTTTCCAAAGTTTCATGTATGGGTACACCAATAAATCGGCCCTGACTTCCTTAATTTTGGAAGATCGGGGCCGACACTTTGTGACTTTGTCGCTACATTTAGCAATTGTTCAGACAAAAAAAAATTGGTTTTGGTCCAAGTCGGAATCGGTAGGTCAGACTTTTTAAAGATTGGGATTGTCCAGAAAACTCCAATCAGGGCACCCTTAGTTTTACGATAGGATTGTTCTGCATTTAGCCTCAATGGTACCACTTTACAATATGGCTACTATCAAAGATGGATAATAAATAGTTCATAGATAAGTTATTAATTAATTTCTAAACGCTTTATAAATCATTAATAAAAGAGTGAGGAGACAAAATCGACCGGTTCCTTACAAAATAGTCAGATAAATGTGTTCAATTACATATTTTTATCTAAAGTTGTTACACTAAACATTGTAAGCACAATAAGCACTTGTAAACGTCATTTGTTTAGCATATAGTCTCTCTCTCCCCTTTAATCAATGCATAATAAACAGGTAATGATTTATAAAGTATTCATAGATCAGTTCTCTATATACTAAATGAATATAAGGGGAGCCTTATTGTAAAGTGGAGCCGTCACAACTGCATTCCTGCCAATTCTGAAAAAAGCACTCCCACAGCCTGATGCTGCCAACACCATATTTGATGGCAAGTTCATGCCATTGGTTGGACTTGATTTTATTTAGGGAAGTCAGCGTTGAGGGATTTGATCTCTAAACACAAAGCCACTTTTTGGTTATAAAGTGACAATATCAAAAGATGGAACAGATTTGTAAAGTACTGTAAGCTCTACTTTAAATAACTCGCTTCTGTGTCTCTTCCAGCTCTCTCATCTTTTTCTCTTTTTTAACGCCTTTTATTCCTCCCTTTTCTCTTGTCAACTGAGCATTCAACTAAAAATAACTGAACTGTTGGTCAGCGGGGACAGGAACAAGGAATCTAAATAAAATTAGCTTCTGAACCTCAAGCTCTGTCACATTTCAGAACTGGATTTCTAAAAACAAAAAAAGAAAAGAAGAGGAGAAGAGCAGAATACTAAAGACAGAGCTGAGGTTTGGGAGGATCTTCCATCTTGTGTGGAGAGGAGGGAAGTAGGTGGGGGGGGCGTACCGGCACACGGACCAATACCCCCCTCCTGTGGCACTGCCAGAGAGCTGCACATCCCAAACACAGACTGCAGACACACACACACACACACACACACACGTGCACAAATACTCACATATTGCAGCACTCAAAACCACATTAGAATAACTGAACACACACACACACACACACACACACACACACACACACACACACACACACACACACACACACACTCACACGCACGAGTCCTGAGACGGTTTGAGCCACTGAGTGTGTGCTGCTGCTGCTGCTGCTGCTGCTGGAAGGCAGATAAAATACTCGACTCCTCTTCCTCTCCTCTGCACACATAAGGCAGTGATTACCGAGAGCAATACGTGTGGAGAGAAACAGAGAAAAAAACGAGCAAGAGGATGAGAGGGGAGCCGAGGAGTGAAAGGACGGGAACATCCGTGTGAAAAGCCCCCCTCCACCTCCACCAGTGCGAGTACGGAGCGCGGCTCCGAGCCGGTGATGGGATAATTTCGCCCCACTTTCCGAGGGTTCGAGTGTTTGAAAGAGAAGCTTAGTCACAAGCGGCTCCGCTTTCCATTCAGCGTTCGCAGCGCGTTCCGAGTCGCAAACGTCGCAAACGGCATCAAGGTAACGAGGCGCGTCTCCGATCCGGCAGGCGGGACAAACGAGTCGGTGCGGTGGGGAGGAACAGAGACGTTTACCGATTTCCCAAAATGAAATTGCTAAGTGACATCAGACGAGGAAAAGAGGCAAAAGTATTCGTTCACGCTGCGCTTTGAACATGTGCTTTGTCAGAAAGTTTTAGATGTTAAAACTGATTATATAATCACATGGAAATAAGATGAGGAAATAAAACATCCAGATCATGATTTTATCCATTTCCTTGGGATTTACAAATTTGTGACCCAAGATTCTCCGTCAAAATTTCTGATACAGAACAAAATTTATGTTTCCATTATTTATGGCAATTTGTAGTAAAGTAGCACCAGACCATCATGTGTTTTTTTCTCATGAAATGCTATTAGTTTTATATCAGCTATAACAGGATAAATACCTTCCTTTCAGTCTAGGGAATATTTTCCACAAAGACGTTTTTAGTGGTAGCTTGAATAAAATTTAAGACCAAAAAACTATAAAAACAGGAGGATGATTGAGGGATCCTGCTGTATGACAATCAAACGTAGCAAAAACTGTGACGTTTCTGGGCTCCGTTTGTAGCGGTGTTGTGCTTCTCGCACTGCATGTGACTCTACAATCTTAAATCCCAAAGAGCCTGGATTTATTTTTTTTATTTTTCTGCACAAAATGCACTTAGCTTCGTGTGAGTTGTCAACAGTAGTGAGCCGGTGGCAAAAACGAACGTCATCCAGTCAATTGATGATAAATGTACACATATTCATGGTAGATGAAAAAAAGCTAGCAAGGGTATATTGCCTGACAAAGTCCCACAAGAAAAAAAAAACCTACAAGATTAAATTGTCCTGCCGCAACAAAATTTAAGATCTGTCATCAACTTAGATTTTTAATAAATTTTAAAGGCCTTCATTTTAGAAAACATCAATTTAAGACATTTAAAGGATGAGCAATCACCCCGGTTTGCTCTCCAGGTTGGCTTATTTTTATCCAATAATACAATTTGTTTGATGATATGAGCTGGGAAAAAAAAAGCAAAAACTGAATAAATCTGTAAACATACAAATACTTGTTTTTCTTAAATAGTACCCCAACTATAAACAGATGCATAAATTTTTTTCAGGAACCTTGAGCATCCAACGACGACGTGGTAAACACATAACTGCAGTAGACGTGACGTCTGTTCTGCCTTTTTTTTTTTTTTCCCCAGCTTTCAAAGCAGCCGGATGATGAAACCAACAGCGTTCGACTGAGTCAAGGATTCTCAAAGTTTATTGTTACTGAGATTTGCAAGCAAATAATAATCTCTTACCTGACTGTGAGGTGCGTATCCATGGAAACCGGGGTTTAAAGGCTCATTGTTCTGAAAAGAGACAACAGGAGGGATGAGAGCGGCGTTAAGTTGCTAGGCTTCTACAAATGAGTGGAAGGCAGCGCGATGGAGCAAAACTTTAAACGTTCTCAAAAGGCAAAAATAAATAACAAAAATGCACCATTACATTGTTGTTACTGAAAGTTTAACATTATAGGCAATCAACATCACTAATTTGGGGATTTTAAAGATGCATTTTAAGAGCTGTTTTTATACAGTTTTATCATCCAACAAACAACTTGGGGGATTTTTGGCCTTTGTGAATGAATTTGTTGAATGTTCTTCAACTCACAAAGAGTCTCAATTATGAATCAAAGCTAAAATATACATCTTTACCTGCACATTGTCCCACTTTTTGGAGTAATCAACAACGTTTAGGGAAAATTCTGGCTCAATATTTGACCAGTTTAAATGCTGTATAAAGCTGCTCCCAGAATTAAATACATCACAATAAAATAATAAACAATAGCCTTATTGCTCAATAAAAACACATATTGCTAACCAGAATCGTATCAGGAGCTTGTTGACAGCTTTAAAAAAAAAAGTGTCCAGTTTCTCTGCAACTTGCTGAAGGACATTTGTCCAAATGTTACCGGAGGTCTATTCTTATGTTTGAGTTTGCATGTATTACTTTAGGAATAAATTGAAAAGTGTGCATCCAGTTCTTCTTTTCAGTAAACATCAAGCTTGGCTGTTGTAAAATTATTCCACCCTAAAAAGGAACAAGAGGTTCTTTAAAACGCTAAAATTAATGTTAAGCACCTTTCACACCCAAGCTGAGTAACCAGCTCTGCACACCAAGTCAACTTTCCCAAGAACTGTGATCCAGCCGACCCAACCAATCGGAAGCCACCGCCAGGACCGGTTTCCTCGACGACCCCCGCGTCCCCAACTCAGAAACCCACTGTTGTGGTTAATTGCTCTATAATTACTTTTAATTAGATTATTTCTGTCTCTCTTGCTCTTTTTATTTTCCTACTCCGTGCCGTTTCTGACCCGGCAAGAGGATCCATTGTTTGCCTCGGCGCTACAGTAGGTTTGGTGGGGGTTGGGGGTTTGGGTCTGGAACAATGGGGAAAGTTAACTAAATGATGATGTTTTGACAGCGGTAAGATGGAGAGGGAGGGTGAGAGAGAGAGCGAGATGACTCTGGGCCTGCTGGTACGTCTCGCAGAGAAAACACGACCGCCTGGTGAGTTTTATGTCTCTGCACTCGAAAAGGAGCCGAGGCGCGAATCTGGTTGAGCAGAAAGGAGGAGGGTGAGAGGGGAAGGCCTGGAGGGGTAACAGAAAGAAACACGTACGTGTCTGAGAATAACTATACACCCCAGTGTTGGGTAAATTTAATCAGGAAATATTAGAAATCCATGTGCTAACCAAAAAGAGAAAAAAAAAAGCAGATCTAGACTCCGAGGACTGTCAACAGAGTTAACCTCTTAGCCTCGACCTCGAGCCGCCCGCTGCGGGAATCGTTTCCTAATTGCTTTCAGCCAGCCAATCAAGGCCAAGTGTATGAGACGGAGGGCCATGATGACACAAAGTTTATATAAACAGACGGAGAAAAGGCTATTAATCCAGAAGAGCTCTCTGTAAAACTGGGCCTGGCAGAGAGAGAGAGGGGCTAATGGGAAACACAGATGTACAGACAGAGCTGTGTAGAGGAATCTGTACAGTACTGAGGCCCACCGAGTCAAAGCTTTGTAAAACAACATTCACTCCAATTAAAGCCGAGAGTCTTTTTTATCAGCTTTGAACGTGTAAAGATACAGTTTTGACCATTCTTCTTTGTAAAAATAGTTCAAGTTCAGACGAGATGGCGGGTGATGCACATCTCATGGTGTTTTCACAACCGACAGTCCGGTAAACTTGGGTCGACTGGGTCATAACAGACCTGTCGCCATGGTATCCAGGCCACTCAGGTCTTCTGGTTCTGGTCCATCTCCAGACCCAGAACAAAACATGGAGAAGCAGCATTCAGTTCCAGAAAACCAGAAAACTGCTGAAACATTGACATCCTTACAGTCAAGGATAGGAACCCATTTGTTTAGAGATTAATTTGGTTCAGAATAACGAACATTGATCAATGTGATGTTCATTTGTTTGATGATTTTGATGGTGGCATTTAACAAAATGTAACATTTATTGCTTGTTTCATAGTTGGCTACTGTGTGATATTTTATGGTGTAGAGTACATTGAACTGCCTCGTTGCTGAAATGTGGTACACAAACAAACTTGACTTGACCAAATTTGCAACATTTGTTGCATTTTCAGCTGCTGCTGTTCATTTTCATACCTCCCCTTTGTCAAATGCCAGATATTAGAAGTTGTTGGATTTCTCTTTTGTCTTTGGCAGAAAACCACAAGCAATTTCTCCAGCTAGCGCTAGCCACACACATGTTCATTTTGGTTGCATTTACCCAAAATGCCCTGCGCTGCAGTCCGCTTCCTCTTTCTAGCGTTCACATATGCATTCAAACTGCACCAGAGTTCACTTGAACTTAGGTATGTAGGTGGACCAGAGTTCACTTTTTTTTTGTCTGCATCAGAGTTGGATTGTGCGTTCATACGTCCCCAAATGACTTTCTAGGCAAACAGACTAGAGTTTGATTAAAGCAGACTAAGTAGGGTTGTTGTAAATGCACCCTCAGTTTCCATTGCAGATAACTTACTGGGAGCGGCTACGTGTGTGACGTTATTGGGAAAGAGTAAAGGTACCTGAACGTATATTCTCTCCAGATTTTTATGTCTCCTTAGATTTCACAATTTTGGGCTATTTTCACAAAATCTCAACTAAATACTTTCAATTCTGACAAAAAATTTTAAAAGGTTCAATTGTGCTGACTACCACAGGGCTCTGTAATGCTAATGCGGAGACCAATAAATACGTGTCTGGACGGTGTGTGCTTACTGAAAGCCAAATGATAATAGAAACAAGATGGTTTTCATAAAATGAGCCGAATTTGAAGGAAACAGATGGAAAAAAACAAACAAAAAATAACATTTTGTTATACGAGCTGTAAACTCAGACTGTCAGAGAAGCGGGAGTTGGGGCCCGTCCTCCCTTTTCCCCGCCTGAAACAGCTCCCTCTTTGTCTTTTCCCTCCACTTCCTGTTTCATCTGGAACCAATTTCCCCCTCGTGCCTCGTCCCCAGGGGGAACACTCTCCTTTACAGGCTCGCATTGAGCCGAGGACGAACCGCTGATGACGCGAAGGGCCGAGAACCTCGGATCTACGAATCCCGAGGCACGTTTTCCAGAGACGCTCTAAAACATCTGCAGCGCTTCTTCTGCATTTACCCCCAATTAACTCCTTCCCGTTAACCAAAAGGCCCCGAATGCGTCTTCCTCGGTCGACGTGAGGGGGTTCGTTTGACGCACTGGTGATGAGAAGTAAGAGGAAACCTTGCCACGCCGCAGAAACGCCAGCCAAAACGATCCCAAACCATCAAATTGTAGAGTCTCTGGAGGCTCCACGGTGAAAAAAGGAAAGAAAAAGGCAAAAAGAAGGGAGGAGTTTATGGAAGACAGAAAAACACAAGGAGGGAGAGAAGGAGGGGTGGATGAGTTTAGCAACATCTGGAATCAATCTGCTGGTAGAAGAAGGGGGAGCGAAGGGGGGGAAGGACGGCTGAGAACGAAAGAAGAGAAAGGAGCAGATGAAAACAGACGAAGGAATGTGGGTGAAAAGATGGCCAAAGTAAAGAAAGGGGAGTAAAATATTACAAAAAAAACATGAGCGAAACGGAGACAATGAGTCACAAGTAAAAAATGTCATGTGACTTACATTTTCTTAAAGGATGGGGGAAGGGGCTGGGGGTCTGTACTTGATCTTTGCCTTCTTTATTCAGACACACACACACACACACACACACACACACACACACACACATTATGCCTTTGATTCAAAGACTTTGAAGTATATTAAATAAGCGCAGGCATTTTTTAAGATGAAAAAAAAAAACAAAACTCCAAAACTCTTATTTCTACAAACCATATGGCTTTAAACAATTTATTTTCCCCGCAACTTTTCGAAGGCGTTGGTTTCAGACTCCGCTGGCAGAGATCAGAAAAAGGCACAGACAGCCAGTCACACGCTTATGAACACGGCCGCCCACTCTCTCGGTCCCCGTCTCTTAACTCGACGCGAGGGCAAACCTGAAAGAGGGCGCCTGGCTTTATTTATTTTCTTTATCTCCCGCCAGCTATTTTAGGAGGGAGAGAATGAAAAAAAGTTGGGAGTAGCTGGAGCAAACTGCAAGGAGCGGGGTTGAACGTGGAGGCAAGGAGGGGGGAGAAAAAGGGAGCAGCGGTGGTGAAGGAAGGCGGAATGACATGAGGTCAACAGATGGTGAGAGAGGGGGAGGAGAGCAGGGCGGGAGGTGAGGGGGAGGCAGGAGGGTGTAATTAGGCAGGCTGCTGCAGGCATCCGGAGGTACCGAACAGAAAAGCCCGCGGAGCGGAGCGGGACTCTGCCACCCGAGGCTGCCTTCTCGGGTGGCAGAGAACGACGCCGGATCTAAGGAAGCCCCACCTGCTGCCACTAACAGATACTTAGAGAAAAGACTCAAGTTTTCACTTGAGGCCAAGCTAAAACGTGCCCACGTTCAACTGAAATGCCGTAGATGTCGTTTCATGCATTCTGGAGTTTTTAACTCTTCTAGAAGGACTTCTTAGTGGTACGAAAGCAAAGGCTGGTCATGATAATATGCAGGAGAGTTAAGGCGCAGCAACCACCGGGTGCAGGGCAAATGAGGAATTTGCAAAGAAGTTGCAAAACAAAAAACTGATCTGAGTTAAATCATTTTCGGGTGAGCAGCGTGCGCTACTGTACGATGGCGTGCCAGGGCCACTGTAGGTAGAAAAAAGGAGAGCATTTCTGCAGAAAAATCAAAGAAAATGTGAGGACATTTATGAATTTGAATCGTCAAAAATTTGCTTGGGGAAAAAAAACTACAAGCTTTTGAGATAAATCTCAGAAATCTTCTAGCG